TGCTGACCCCAATCAGCCAGCCATGCTGCAGCTCAGGGCCCCTGGAGGCTCCCCCAGCCCCCTCAGCCCTACCCCAGAGGAGGCCCCGGAAGCAGTCAAAGCCCCACCCGGGCGCTGAGAAAGTGGACCCCCGGTTCGAGGGGGTGACCCTGAAGTTTCAGATAAAGCCGGATTCCAGCCTACAGATCATACCCAGCTACAGGTAGGGGCTGGCCCAGAGGAGGGCGCCCTTTTGCAAGTTATAGTAATAATGGTGGGGGCAGGGGCCTCCCGGCATCTGCTCGCGGGCGCCCCACACCAGCCCTACGTTACAAATGGCCCAGCCTCTGAGCGAGACCTCAGGCTGGCGCCGTGACCCAGCAACGTCCTGGTCCGAGCATAGGTCCTGTTTATGAGATGGGCCTGACCATACTGAGGGTGGTTGCTAACTGTTGTTTTTCCCAGTAATGATCATGACCACCACCTGTCAGGAACAACAACTATGAGAGGTAACAGGTAGCCCTTGATGTATATGGGCTCCCTGAAGCCTTGTGAAGCCCATTTTGCAGATTTGGAAACTGAGGTGCAGAGGATGCGATCGCTTGTCCGGAGTCACGCAGTGAGGACTCAGGAGAAATGGGATCTCAAACTGGCAGGCTGGCCCCAGACTTCCTACCTCTTCACATAATACTCATTATTATTACTGATGAGGGACAAGGCCAGGCCTTTCAGCCATCAGACGCCTCCTTGGGGGATGCTTCAAATCCCGATAGTAAATCATCACTGAGGGGCCACTGCCTGGGACAAGGTACAGACCCCCCAATGCTAACTCCTGTCTACTCCCCAGCCTGGCCTGCAGTAGCCGCTCTCAGGGTCCCTCTACAGGCCCTGCCAGGGGTCCTGAGGCCAACTCAGGAGGCAGCGAGGCCCTCGGTGAGTCCTGGTGACTTAAGAGCTATAAATATGGGGGGGGGGCAGTTTCCCATCTTCTCTGTCTTTCTTCCCATCCTGCTTCCCCATTTAGACCCATCCAGAAGGAGTCATGGTGCACCTCCCTCCACTCAGGCTGAGTCACCCCCACCCCCGGTTTCTTCCTCTGCTTAGCTTTGCCATCTGTCTCCCTTCCTGGCTTTCCCTCTGTCTTAGATCTGGTAATACCCAGGGCTGGCCCAGAGCCAGGTGGGGCCTTCGTAGAGACTCTAACAAAATGCCCCACCTGCACAGGCCTCCGGAGCCCAGACTCTTGGCCTCTGCCCCTTACCCTTTGACCTCTGCCCCCTCAGGGCCCCGGTGCTGTGCTTCCTGTAGGACCCAAAGGACCCCACTCTGGAGAGATGCTGAAGATGGGACCCCTCTCTGCAATGCCTGTGGTATCAGGTCCTCAGGATGGAAGGAGTTTGGATGCTTAGCCAGTGTGGGGTTCTGGGAGGGGAAACACTCACCCTTGCGGAAAGTGGAACTACCCAGAAAGTGGTAGTTTCTGGACCCCTGCTGCATTCTGATGTTGGTTTCTCGCACCCCCACCCCAGGTACAAGAAATATGGCACTCGCTGCTCCAGCTGCTGGCTCGTGCCCAGGAAAAGTGTCCAGCCCAAGAAGTTATGTGGCAGATGTGGGGTGTCCCTGGGCCCCCACCAAGGCCCAACTCAGGAAGGGTAAGCCCTTCCTCACCCAGCTGAGCCTGTCCTGACTCAGTTTCTCTGTGGTGGGGAGGGCAGGGAATGGGCAGAAGCCCTCCTGGGAGGAGTGGGGAAAAAACTTGGGTCTTCAAGGGTCCAGGCTGCCTCTTCTCTGCCCCCTCCCATTCAGGGATCTCAGGTGGAAGACCCAGGCCTCGGGCTCCAGAGTCCCTGTCTCAGGGGGCCACTGTCCCCCTCCCTGGCCCCTGGTCCGATGAAGTTTGGCTGAGCCTCCCCTCAGAAAATGTCCTCAGCAGTGACACTCCTACTGTGAACAGCAATAACAATAAAGAACACAACTACTCTGAGAAAGAGCGCTGTGACTTGGGGATCCCACCTCGTGCACACTTCTCCCTCTCTCCCCCGCGCCAGGAATGTGGGGGCAGGTGTTTTCTCATTAGGATTCTGAGGGACACACACACTCGTACATACAGGGACCAGCCCACCCACAGAGAATGAGCCACATTCACCACAACATCCCATATAGGGCAACAGCCACCACATGCAGAGACAAAGAACACATGGAGACAGACAGACACACGGGGCGCCTGGCTGGCTCGGTCAGTGGAGTGTGCGACTCTCAGTCTCGGGGTTGTGGGTTCGAGCCCAGTGTTGGGTGTAGAGATGACCTAAAAAAAAAAAAACATTTTTTTTTTTTTTTTTTAGAATTTGTTTATTTGACATAGACAAAGCGAGAGCAGGAACACAAGCAGGGGGAGTGGGAGAGGGAGAAACAGGCTTCCCGCTGAGCAGGGAGCCCGATGCGGGGCTCGATCCCAGGACCCCGGGATCATGACCTGAGCTGAAGGCAGACACTTAACGACTGAGCCACCCAGGCACCCCTAAAAAAAATCTTATTTATTTTTTAATTTATTTGAAAGAGAGAGAGAGCACAAGAGGGGGTAGGGTTAGAGGGAGAAGCAGACTCCTCGCGGAGCAGGGAGCCCAATGTGGGACTAGATCCCAGGAGTCCGGGATCATGACCTGAGCCAAAGGCAGTCACCCAACCAACTGAGCCACCCGGTGCCCCCCTAAAAAAAAATCTTAAAAAAAGGCAAGACAGATACGTGTGTGTGGGCTAACACACATTCACATACAAGACACTGACAAACTCGCGTGTGCTGACACGCACATGAGACACATAGACCCCACGCTAGACAGAAACAAGCGTTGACGGACACAGGACAGATACATCTGTCAACACCCGGAAAATACACCTAGGTGACACACACATTGGCACACAGTGATACACACACAGCGGTCCCTTTATCCATCAGCTCCACCTCTGCCTGCAGGGTGTCCCCTTCCTACAACTTTATGCACACCAGTCCCTTCTGTGGCCCCCTCCCCCCTCTTCCAAGAGCTCTCCAACCCCACCATGGGTGTCCCTAGCCTGCAGCCAGAAGCCATTCAGGAGAAGAGGGCCCTGGCCAGAGCTCAGCCCTGTCGCTGTCGCCAGAACACACAGGATACCAGTGCCCACTGGGAGAACTGGAGGGATGCAGCCAGGGTGGGGGATGGTCCCGCATGGCAGTGAGTGAGACCTGCCAGGCCACGTAGCCCAGGAAGGGGAGCCCCTGTGAAACCCTCTCTGTCTGTTTTGGGTGAGCCTGTGGGGAAGGTCTGGGCCCAGTTCCTCAGCCCTCAGATCCGACTCCTCCAGCCCCACATTCCTCAGCTCAGAACACCCTCCCCGGCGCCTCCCTTAGCTGCTGCCTTCTCATTACTGGGAGGGTGGGGCAGCCTTCCTTGACCACCCAGTCTAAAATACATACCCCACTCCCATGCTGTCACGCTCTAGTTCAGCTCCTCACTGGTCTCCCTCCTAGAACCTACCAGAATTTGTCAGTTCTCTACTGCTCTGGGGTTATTTCATTCACCTTCATCTTCCCACCTGGACCATGACTTCAGGGGTCCAAGGCCACAACTGTGTCCCTGACCGTGATGGGCCACCCCAGGGCCCAGCATGGAGTTCTTTGGGGATGCACGTTGAACACATGAAGGTCTCAGACTGTGTACCTGTGAACTCACGGCTGTTTTTACCCACTTATTGAGCATTTATTGAGCAACTACTGTGCACCAGACCCCAAGGGGGGCAGTTTATGGTGACTAGAACAAAGAACCCTGCTCTAGCGAAGCCAATATTCTCAAGTGACAGTAAACAGTCAAATATCTAATACAGTGTCAAGTGGTGGTTGATGCTACAGAGAAAAGAAAGTATGTAAGGAGATAAGGCGTTGGAGGGCTACCTCAGTTTTGCTTCTCTCGGAGGAGAGACAGCCAAGGCCTCTCTGACATTTGGATAGAGACCTGAGGATAAGGAACTGGCTGTGGGACTTTGAGGTGAGGACAGTCCAGGCAGAGGGAATGGCAAAAGCAAAGGCCCTGTGGCAGGCTGGACTTGGTGGGACATAAGGAATCGTGAGGAGGGAAGTAGTTAAGAGTGTGTGTGTGTGTGC